TCAAATTTAAAACCAAGTGACGTACGTTCAGTACAAACGTTATTAGAAGACAGTTTAAAACGTCTCAGGCCGAATGCAGTTGGCTTGGTAGATAGTTTCGATATGAGAGATGAAATTTTGAGTTCGCCGTTGGGAGCTTATGATGGCAATGTTTACGAACGACTTATTGAAGAAGCCAATAAAAGTCCGTTGAATAAAGAACCTGTCAATGAATCATTTCATAAATATTTAAAACCGTTCTTACAATCAAATTTGTAAATCATAATAGGTATAAGGATTTGAACAGTAGTTAATTGTGTTAAATATTATTGTTATATGTTGGATATTTGAAAGTGGTTTGGTACTAATATATTATACTTCATGGAGTTTGTTTTTTTTAATACTTAATTAATTTATAAATTATAATTATATCTTTATTATTTTTACCAAATGGCATAATATACAAAGCGATTATATTTTTGTATTATTTCACATACATACTAAATGATTTTATGTGTGTATCTAGTTTTTAGTAAACTATATCCTATTTTATATTTTAAAATGTTTTATTTACCTATAATTTTCTAATATATAATTAGAAAAAAACTTCACACATGTACTATACTGTATTTATTACATTGTTAAACTTAATTTTATGCTATTCTATTGTAACTTGAATTATAATAGCTAACAAAACATTGTTGAACTTATGTATTACTTATATTTATTTTAATAACCCATATTTGCCTTTATGTGTGTATGTAATTTCAAACGCAAGTATACAGGTTGATCCAACCGGTGTAAGACAGTATTTTTCTGGAAAAAAAAATGAATATTTTATGAATTTTTTTTTCCTTTAGATGTAGGTACATTTATTACTACATTTTAAAATTTTTTTTTAAATGTTTAACTACGACCATTTTAAACAAAACAAATATGCTTAGGTTTTTTTTTCAATGGGAACATATGTTATTAAGTTATTTCACAAATATGTGAAAATTTTTTTAAAAAATTAACTCAAATATGAACGTTAGAACTAACAACGGTGTTTTTATAGATTTATGGCGTGTAGTGGTGGAACCAGGTGAAGTGAAGTCATGTTTACACACTTTGATTATCTGCTAGTAATAGATTGTTTTTTCTAACACTAACATTCATAGTTCATATTGAAACGAACAGTGCTCACAAACAAAACATCATATCTTTTGGATGTTTTTAAAATAGTGTATAATATTTACAAATGTAAATATATTTTTTTACTAGAAAATAATGTTTTGAAACTTATTAATAAATAAAACCCGATTTTGGTTATGATTCATTTATTTTGTATGTAATATATTTTGATTGTCAAGCGACGGTCTCCATTGATAAATTAATACTGCAGTTGTTTGACAATGTTGTATAATATACAATCTCAGGTGAATACATGAAAATGAATGGTCACACCATAATATAATTGACAAAATGTGCAGTCTAAAAATGAAACTTTTGCCAGTAGTTTCTATATAAATGTCAAAATCAGTCATAATATTAAATGTAATTTTTAGTTATTGTATAAATGTTAAAAGCAACCATATTATATGTATTATTACTATCCATAAGTATAAGTAAATAATACGTATAATTAATAACAAAAAACTCATTATAATTTAGTGCAGTCTTAGATGTTATTTTTCAGGTTGTCGCCTTTAATTAAAAAATATTCATTACGTAGTTTACACACCAATTTCAAATAAAAGATATATGATTTAATTAAGAATATAATAATAATATATTTTATTATCAACCTACGTGGACGTTATTTTTTTCTATATTGTTGTCAATGTTCTTTCGTTATTGCTAAGACTAATATCCGGCAGAACCGTGTTTGATGTAGATAGATAAGAACTGCTTGTTTGTCATTATCTAAAGGCAGGTAGGTGAGTAGCCAGTTAAGTGTTAGAGATTTAGGTCTGAAAATTATACCGGAACTAGATCTACAATAGGCCTATAACATAATATATAGTTTTCATTGAATTATGTCAAAATGTACTATTTCTATTGGATTTTCACAAAACAAACCAAGTGATCTTTAATAAGATTGAGACGTTATAATGTTTACACACTATGATGATTAGTTAATCGTAGATTTTTTTTCCATCACTACCATTCATGGTTCATATTGAAAATATGTAGATATATTTTTTTACTAGAAAATAATGTTTGAAAAATTCTAACCTTATAAAATAAAAAAAAACCCGATTTTGGTTATGATTCATATATTTTGTATGTAATATAATATTAATATTCTGATTGCCAAGCGACGGTCTCCTTTGATAAATTAATACTGTTGTTTAACATGTTCTAACAATGTTCTAAAATATACAATCTCACACGAAAAATAAATGTTCACACTATATGAATTGACACAATGTGTAGTGTGAGAATGAAAGGTCTGTAGTAATGTAGTGTTACCTGTTCACCTAAACTTTAAAAAAACCAACCAGCTGTGTAAATTAACGAAAACAACTACATACAATGCAAAAACCTACTAGATTCTGGTTGTTCGGTCGGAATATAAGCCCATCCAAAAGTCGCAAGAAGAAAGCTTAGTTTCAACAGCCAACAAATAAATATATCAAGTCGATGACTGTCTAAGAAATTCAATCAGCTCAACGATTTCAGTAAGTATTTCCATTAAACCCTAAAAATTGTAATTACGTTAAAACTAAATAAACGCATGAGCTAATGAGCCGATAGTTTTAGTGTGAAAAAGACAGTAATAAGTAAATTTTATTTGCAAGTAGTTTTATTTTTGGGTCTTAACTGCGTCCTTTAAAAACGTTTTCGAGCAAACGATTTTGTTATAATATTGATTTTTACCAAACAGATAAAAATATTGCGTTTTACACAATCCACACTTTGGAGAGAATTCTATAATAGATTTTAAATGTTTTCATTATTTGGCTTGATGTCTTACTTTTGTGAGATATTTTACACAATGGCGTGGATCCAAGGGGGGGGGAGCAAGGGGTGAGTGGCCGCTGACGATTAGTAAAATATACGATTAATTCGATAAATTTTCATGGCAAGACAAACCCTTCAATTCTTAACAATATAACATACAAAAAAAAAATTTCGTTTTATTTTTAAAGTATTTCAATAACATCTGCCATTAGTTTGCTTTGTTATTGATTTATATATATGGTGTATAATATTATTGGTATATACGTACACAGGCTACAGCAATCTTTTTTTTATCGTTGACATTTTTTCCGGTATTAATTAAGCATAATTGTTTGTATTTATTTATACTCAGCTTTACAATAGTAGTGTATACTGTATCGCTGGTTAAAGAAAAATATTAGGACAACGACAACTCCTCTTCCCACCCTCTCAATAGACCTTATCACAAGACAGTCAGCACTCGGAGGTCGGCCACCCAAAATATAACAATAACAGCATCAGAAGTTGTGTTCTATAAAAAAATCGACGAACGACGGTTGGGTGACAACTTCCAAATTAATGTTTAGTAACAGACAAATTTTTCAAAATTAAATAGACGAGACGATTTTGTTCTGTAATTAATTTTCTACTAATTATTTACTAATACCGTGTGTTCATAAATAAATATTTATGTATGCACTTTGATGTATTTCAATTATTATAATATTCCTGCACATCGAACTTGCATATTTTATGCACTTAATATGCAAATTGCATATGCAGTTTGCATATTTCGAAAAAGAGATATAATTACGTTTACAGGATATGAAAATAAATGATCTAAACAATAAATAAGGATCTTATAAATGAATAGCATGTCGTTTTCAAAAAAAACAACATTAGAGAGTGGTTTTCTATGTTAATTTGTGTGCTGAATGTGGAAATTTTTTTTTAAAAAATCCTGAAGACATCGTTGACCTTGAAAAATTAATTTCAAGGACAAGTTCTAATTTTTTGCTGTAATTATTATTATATTATTTGCAGAGAAATTAAATGTTTTTTTTTAAATGGACGTGAATACAAATTAGAATTTCAAAATATATATTGTGAAATGTAGACAAAGGCTATTGCGTGAAATTTTCTTAATTTATTTAAAGTAAAATAAAAATACCTACGAAATAATCGTAATTATTATAACATAACTTATAACATTATTTTATTTTATTGACAATATAATATATAAACTCGATACTGTTTCTGTATTTTTCTTAATTTTTTTATTTCTCAATTTTCTTACTTGTATTCTCGTGGGTACAAGTTCAGACTTGTATCGTTGCTAGTCTACTATTTCGTATCAAAGGGAATTGCCAAAATGTAAACAATGACTTGGCGTTATTCGTTAATATTGGTACATTTACTCTTCAAGAATTTAAGGCCACTTAATTCATTATTCAATTTTAAGCTTTGAACATTGTTACATTTTTATAAATTATAACATAAAAAATTAATAAATATTGAAAAAAAATTTTCAAAATATGACGTTTAATATCTTTTATTGCATAATATATTATTGAATTATTAATATTATTTGATAGGCAACAATTAAATAATTAAAAAATTATTATTTTATTATAAATTCACAAAAAATATGCAATATGCAGTTGCATATGCAAAAACATATTTTATGCATATTGCATATAATATGCAAAATATGCACTAACAAGTAGTGTCTATAAAATACAGGCAATTGTATATGAATCGGCTGTCTACTGATAACCATTAATGTACCTAAGAATTGATGAATTATATAACCGATAAAAAAACGTTGACAACTTATAGGGTGTGTATAAACTAAAATTAACTACTCCCAAACAGTATTGGTTCAAATTGGTAAAATATGCAAAAATTACGAATTGTTTTCATTAGGATTAAAGTAGTGTTTTGACTAAGATGCCCCTCCCCCCCCCCAACAGTAAATAAGTTCTGGATCTGCGTCTGCAGCCTCACCAAACCAGAAGGTTTTGGTTTGACTTCTATGCACTTAAGAGGCAACTGTGACTAATATGAATTCTTTTTACGTTTAATATTTGCAGAAAAAAAAAATGAAACTTATCTGTTTTTTTATATCATATATCTTGGTAAACGTTTCGGCAGATTTTGAAGGTATTTATATATTTTTTTCACAATTAAAAGCATAAGGTAGGTAATAAAAATTTGAAAAAATAAACAATATTTCACTTTGTTTTACAGCGGAATACAAGAAACTTGTTTTAGTTACAAGTCAGTAACATTTTTGTTTTACCGAAAATATTATTTTAAGTTTTTTGAACTCAATATTTTCATACATATTTTTTAATTATGTACATATTACAGATTTATCCATCATGGAAGCTGGAACGAGTGAGATATGTTTAAAATTAAATTGTTAATATATAAATGGTTTGTTATGCGTACCTAATTGTCAAGTTTTTTGCAAATTTTAAAGTATAGTTTTTATCAATAGTAAAAAGTGCACCAGTGTACAGAACATTGTAATTTTTAAAGTAGGTAACGATTTCTAATAACCTAATCAAAAGAGTAGTGTTGAGGTAAATGGCTGTAGCTAAAAGCATGGTATAATTTTATTCTGAAGATTTATATGGTCATTAAATTTAATTTTAATTGTTTAGTATAGCCAAAATCTTTTTTTGTTTATTCTAGATAGATTGGAGGGAATAATTGAAGAAATGGTTAATGAGGCCAATCATTGCAACATTTTCGGTAGTCATAAATAAAATATTAATAATAATTTTAAAAAATAAGTGTAGAAAAAAATGTTTGAAAAAAATTGCAGCTAAAATGTATTTTTATGCAATCGATAAGTGATGCAAATATTAAATTTTCCTCCGAAATCTAAATGAAATATTTATGGAAAAAAACTGATAGTTTTAGCTCTGTTAAACTTACCTGCTCATTAAATTTTATTCTCATTCCCACGATTGTTTCAATTCAGCTAATGTATTAAGATTCCCTTGTCTATTTAATATGATTTTTTCTACTTTGACCTTCAACTTCTAATTTATAATTATATAATGTAATATTTTATAAAAGCAAAACGAATTCAATACTATTAATTTATGTAACGTCAATTTCAGGCAAACTTAATTTAATGATCGCTGTACCAGGTAAAAGTTTTCGTAGAATTTTATGAAAATACTTCCAATATTTCATTCCTATTTAATTTTCCAAAGAGATTCCTATTGTATTTAATATACAGTGAAGCATATTATTTTCGAGTCGCTAATACACACATTTTTTTCCACCATATGTTTTAAATAGGAAGATGGAGATAACTTCCTCTTTATAAAATAATTGAAAATTAAATGCAATATCTTTAATTTATGTAATGTTAATTTCAGACAAATTGTATAATCCCATCTGTATACCGGGTAATCATTTTCATTTACATGTTTCCAGACAGTATTTTTTATGCACATACAATTTTTGTTTTAGTTTCAGATTTGAGACCCATTTCAAATATGGACAGTAACCACATTTTTATATAACATATTTATATATATATATATATGCTTTGACAACAATCACCTATTCACAAAAACTATTGACATTTGGTTTCAATCATAAAACATAATTTGTAGGTAGGTACATTAAAATATATTTGTTTATAATTTTAGAATTGTTGGATTACCAGGACTTTATGGGATGGAAAATAAGACGCGCATTAGGTAAATATTAAATTTTAAACATTTATATTTACACTAGTTTTGAAGTTCTTAAGAAATACTTTTATAATTAGGCCCTTAATTTGATATAAACTGATTATTAGTACGTTGCTACTAGAAATAATTTAACATCTATACAATAATATTTTACATTAAGAAATCTCTTACATGCGGTCTGTTTTTAAGGAGTTTTGTAAAGGCAATATTTAAGAAAAAAGTGGTTTTTATCAATTTCGACCATGTTATTTAATGTTAGGTAATCAATTTTAGTGGATCCAAATTAGATTATTTTAGTAAAATTAAAATTTTGTCAAGAGATTCGTGTTCTTTGGATACTTAACTGTGTTATGAAGAAAACCGATTTTCATTTAAAAACAAGTATTCACAGTACAAGCAGATACATAGGCACATGTATATGTGTCTTTATATTCAAGTATAAGACCCTGGATCTTTTTGGTACTTTTATTATCTCTAATCTCTTATCTCCTATCTTTTATGGCATTATCCAAATGTACCCGTCATGCAATTCTATCCCATCTTTCCGTACATTGGGTTTTATTAACTGCAATAGGATTAATCAATGTATTTGTTACAGGAATGAGATATCCTAACATTAATAGAAACCAAGGTAAATACGAATTTTTCGATAGTCGTAAACAGCCTAGTTTGTTTTAGAGTGGAAATTTGCCTAATTTTTTTTATTTACACTTCGCAAAAGAAAAACAAATTATAACTATATATAATATCGTTGAGTATATATTGTATATACTCAATGATAATATATATAGATATACACAGTTAGCAACCTAGACATTTAGTTTAACTAAAATGTTTTTCATTTTTATTGTTTTCTTTCAAAAATATTCATTTTCCTAGATTATAGAAGCTTAGATTTGAGAGCCCTTGCACAAGATAGAAGAAATCTTACTGGACCAGCTTTAAAAAATATAATCAATCGTGTATTAGGTAAATAATATAAATATGGAGTTGTATGGATTTTTAATCATTTACCTATATTATATATATATATATATATATATATATATAGGTAATTAATAGGAATAAATCACTAAAAAATAACAGTATACAACTAATTTTCATTTTAAAAATTAAACAAATGAGTGATGATACATACCCCCTTGTAATACAAACAGAATGGTTGTACAATATGAACACCAAGAACATTCTTTTTTTTACGTGTTTATTTTAACAAATATGACAGTAGTGTCCTGCGCCAAAAAAAATAAGAAACTGGTTAGCTAGTTTTAGCAAATTAATAAAATAAAAATGTTATAATCTCTTAGATGAACCTGTTCAGGATATTCCGGATGATGATGACTTACCAATGATGTGCTATTTAATTGGATTATACATGAGTACAAAATTTCCAACGTCATATACAAGAAAAATTCAGATTGACGCAATTAGTCATACGTGTACCCTATCGAACGCATATTCAGACAAAATATACACAAAAAATGGTGGCAGTTGGAGACAAATTAACGAAAATGGTACAGTAACACAATTACTTAAGGACCAGTTAGTATAATTAGAACAGGAATCAATGGTATAAATCTGCTAAAATTATCAATACCATTGATGTTTTATTAATTTAATATTTTTATAAAGCACTAATATGTTTATTCATTTTGCACTAATAATAATTTTTAAATAATGTACTTTCCATAATAAACATTTATACAACATTCACTATTTCATTATAAATGTATGCATATCTTTTTGACAACCTGAGCTGCATATTTTTAGTACAGTATAATTTCTGCTTTGTTTGTTGTCTGTAAACACTATTTGCGATGTCGATTTCATCGAATAGAATTGAATAGAAATCCTATAACAATATCTTTAAAACAGGCAAAAAAATCTGTACTAGTACTTGTATTTATATATTTTGCAAGGTGTAATAAAATAAAAGCTAAAACAGTAATGTTTTTACAATAATTTATTTTTTCTCCTATTTGTGTGTCTGCACACAAAATACGGATGTCCCTAACTAGATTTTAGAGACAGAGAAAAGCTTGACCATTGTCATTGATTATTACAACGTTTAGCCATAGTACTACGTCTAGGGAATATACCGTACAAACTTGGAAGTAATTCGGAAGCAAAGGCTCGAGTCTTTTTTAATTTTTGGCTTAATAAAGTACTTTTCAGGTACGATTTTCGATCTATAAAATGTCTACATGAAAAAATCGGTTCAGCGGTTTAAGGGACCCAAATTTTAAAAATACATCTGGAAAAGATTATTTTTAAATCCTAGGTACTTAAAAAGTGATATATGAATATAAAAAATTATATACATTTCTTCTTAGTTTCAATTGAGCCGCAATTATATGAAAATTTAGTTGCTTGTCGGGCGATTAATGTAGTATAAAACACTTAGTTTTTTTTTTAAATGATAGTACAATAAGTATTTTTGTTAGATTTTAAAATTTCTTTAGGACTTTTACAATTATTTTCCGATCGATGAGTCAAAACGTTAAGTAGATTATTCTGAATCTAATTAATTCCCAGAGTACCACTATCAACATCTACATCCTGAAAATTCCCTAAATTTTTTTCCACTAGAAACATTTGTGTGATTAAAAAATAAACATTCGGTTTGATAAATCATCAAATGATTATAATAATTTACACAAAAATGTTATTCCAAAATGTTTGTGCTTTTATTAACCCATCCTCGTCAAGCCTATGCTAAATCCAATTTAAAATACATAATGTACGAATTTTCGTTACTCATTTGAAATAAATTTTCTTTTCTCAAATTAGCAATGTACGAAAATCAGCGCCTACAAATTTTTTCTTTTTGTGTGCACTTACTATTAAAACTTAAAAAATAATCATAAGTTGACAGTATTCTCGAAGCCGCCATACTATCTAAGCATTTGTGTACACAGATTGTTTAGCAACTGTTTTTTCGACTGCTAAATTATTTCAGTGTTCATAAAACAATATGCTGGGTGATTATTTCAACGATCTACACTAGTTTACTCAAAAACTACTTAGATTTTTAAAAACAGAATGTTTAATAATTTGTTTGTGTATAAAACACTAACTTATTATAAAAAAAACTTTTTTAACCTAACCTAACCTAACCTTCTAGCAGAACATTTTATTTAGGCACACAGCTTTATACTGTGATAATATATTTAATAAACGTTTGAGTGGCTTAAACTTTTCGGATTTTCGGATTCCGAGTAATTATTATTCTACATATATGGAGCATTTCTCAAATTTCTCAAGCCTTTATTTTTTTTTTGCAATCTTCACCACTTATCTTGACCGATATTGCCCTTTGTTAAACTGGACACGAAGCGTATCTCTCTCACGAATGGGCTTGTAGGGCCCATAAGGCTACTTGGGCTACCAGGCCCCGGGTGTTTATAAGTAGCGATTGCCACTTTCCATGTTTAAATAACTAAATGAATTGCAGGCACCCAAATGGTACACGGGTCAACAAATAGTTCAAAACTATTAATAAGATAAATATATAAACAGAAAATGAATTTGTCTATTATAGTTGTTTTGAGTCTCCTTGTATTCGTAGCTTAGCCAACTCAATTCAAAATATTTTAAAACAATACAATGTACACAATATGACATTTTTATGTGGAAAAAGAACATGACAACCACTAGTAGCTTATTAACACCTTGAAAACACCATTAGTCATTTTATAGAAGGTTGACCTACAAGTCTTATCAAGAAAAACGAGAAGCTAGGTTTGATGTGTTCGTTGTGCGATGTCCCTACAAGTTTTTCAACAAAAACAACAAGTTAAGGGATGGATGTAATATAAGTTTCAAAAAAAAAAAATAATAATACTATTCCGTGCAACAATGTATTTTACCTTTAGGGTTTTTTTCGTTTAGAAAGTTTGCCGTAGTCAATAGTAAGACCAAAATATAAAAAAAAATTCAACTACTACTCTCTTGTGTAAACATTAGATATTATATGGTAGATTGTAAAATCTAGAGCTAAAAATAATACCTATAGCCAAAGTAATGTATGTAAATCATAAATCATAAAATAAACAAAAAAATGAACCAGCTGTGTAAAAAAACGAAAAAGTTACACTACAAAAAACAATTGAATTGTCGGTCGAAATATAAGTCTGTCCGTATAAATCGCATTTAGTTACAAAAGACGATCAAGTAGAATATTTTCTAAGAAATTCAACCAGCTTAACCATTTCAGTAAGTATTTCCATATGTTTTGGCGTAAAAATAATTGTAATATGTCTTAAAAAAAATACATGAGCATGAGTTAATTGTTTTAGTGTGAAAAAAACATTAATAAGTATTTTAAATTTCTAGTTTTTTATCGGGTCTTAACACTGTTCTTTAACATTTTTTTTGAACGAACGGTTTTGTTATATTTGTTTTGGCCAGATGAAATATCATTCAAGTTCGATTTCTACCTTGCAATACAAAAAAATCAGCTTAGCGGTCTAGGAATTTTTGTGGATCTATTAAAAAAATGTATTTATTGATGTGTAATGTCACATCTTTTTTATAATTTTTTTTATAGTATCTTCGGTCGTCAAAAAAAAAGATAAAAAATCAGATTCTTTTGTAAAATAAATTCAGCTCTCTATTAAAAATATTGATTTTTATTTCACGTAACAAAGTCGTCAAAGTTATTTTTGTTGCCGAAATTTAAGTAATTGTCTAATATTTTTTTCAAAAAGCTGATGGAATTTAACATAAAATGTGTAAATTTCTAATTGGAATCTTTATAAAAATGCTTAGAAAAAAAAATGGGGTAAAAATGAATAGCAAAGTCGAAAAAACGGAAATTGTATTTTATTTTCACAATTATTTTAACCAAGAAATTTTACCCCTTTTTTATTTTTTCTGATCCTAATTTAAAATTCATATATTTTATGTAAAATTTCTTAATTTTTCTAAAAAAATATTAAGCTTTCGTGCCAAACCAAAACCTTCTAATCTCTGCACTTGAGGCAACTGTGACTAATATAAATTCCTAATAAGTTTATTATTTGCAGAAAAAAATGAAACTTATCTGTATTTTTATATCATTTATCTTATTAAATGTGTCGGCAGATTATGACGGTATTTATGTTTTTTACACAATTACCAACTTAAGATATGTAATAAAAATTGGAACAAAATAAAAGATTTCACTTTTATTTTACAGCGAAATATAAGAAACATGTTTTAGCTACAAGTCAGTAACATTTTTGTTTTATAAAAAATAGTTTTTTAATATTTTAGAATTCACTGTTTTGATAGATAATTTTTAATTATGTACATATTACAGATGAATCCATGCTGGAAGCTGGTACAAGTGAGATATATTTAACATTTAAATGTCAATACGTAAATGTTTTATTATGTGTACCTAATTTTCACGTTATTTGCCAATTTAAAAATATAGTTATATGCATTTAGTATAGACCAAATATATTTTTGTTTATTCTAGTCAGATTGGAACGAGTAATTGAAGAACTGGTTTATGAAGTCGAACATCACTACATTTTCGGTAGTCACAATTAAAATAATAGTATTAAAAAAAAAAAAATAGAGAAAAATATTTAAAAATAATACTATAAAAGTTGCAACTAAAATGTATCTTAATGCAATCGATAAGTGATGCAAGTATTAAATTATTATCCAAAATCTAAATGAATCTTTATGGAAAAAAACTGATATTGTTGGCTGTGTCAACTTAGGGTGATTAATATATTTTTTTCTCATTCCCACAACTGTTTCAATTCAGCCATTGTATTTTCATAATATTTATCTAGTCTAATTAATATGGGTTTTTCTTCTACTTCGATCTTTAACGTCTAATTTATATTTATTTTTTGTAATAATTTATAAAATTAAACCAAATCCAATACTATTAATTTGTGTAAATTTCAGGCAAACTTAATTGTATGCTTGCTGTACCGGGTAATAGTTTTTATAGAATTTTATGAAAATAATTCCAATATTTCATTTCTATTTAATTTTCCAAATGAATTCCTAAACGTATTAATATACAATGGTGCACATTTCTTAAGAGTTTCTAATACACTTGTTTTTCTTTTCTACCTTTATCTTCATTTTCCTGTTTGTAAAATAATAGAAAATTAAATGCAATATTATTAATTTATGTAATGTTAATTTCAGACTGCTTAGATGTTACCATCTGTATACCGGGTAATAATTTTCATTTAAATGTTTCCACACAGTAACGTTTGATATTCATTATGCATACAACATTTTTGTTTTAGGCTCGGACTTGAGATCCATCTCAGATACGGAGAGTAAACACATTTTATATATCATATAATTATTATATATAACGCATATTTCTTATATATATAAATACTTCCTATTTACAAATACCAATATGACATTTTGATTGCAATCATATAATATGTAGGTAGGTATATTAATATTTATTTTGTTTTTAAATTTTAGAATTGCTTGATTACCAGGACTATATTGGATGGAAAATAAGACGTGCATTTAGTAAATATAACATTTCAAACAATCATAATTATACTAGTTTGAAGTACTTGTTTTAAAAACTATAAAAAAATCGGTTTAAACATAAAACAATAAAACAATATGTTTTATGTTTAAGCCTCTAATGATCATTCGAATTATAATATAAAAGGTTTATTAGTACGTTGCTATTAGACATAAAATACCAATTATGTAATAATATTTTGCATAAAGGAATTGCATGCAGCCTAGTTTCAAGGAGTTTTGTAAAGGCAATATTTAAGAATACTTGGTTTTAATCAACTTCGACTATGACAATTAATATCCCAATTGATTTTTATATGCTTCAATGTATTATTTTTAATTTATTTAATTTGTATTTTTAATCTTGTAATGTAGTCAAAATGTTGTCTGGCTTTTTAGTCTTAAGCGCCAAAAAACAGATTTCATACATACCCCTTAATTAAGTAGTCTTTCTTATTAATCTTAGTTTAAAGAGCGATTGTTTTAATGACAGGGCAAAAATGACACTATTTTTCTGTATTTAAAACAAATAAAAAAATTATAAAAATTCTATAGGGTAGGATACTCAAATTTACAGCACTTTATAATTGTTATTAATTAGTATTACATTATAACAAAAACAAAATTTTAGATTTAAATACACTATTTTGTACTTAAGATTAATTAAATTATTTTTATCATATGTAATAATATTTTGCACAAAGGAATTGCACGCGGTCTGGTTTTAAGGAGTTTTGTAAAGGCAATATTTAGGAAAAAAGCGGCTATAATCAACTTCGACTATGACAACTAATATTCCAATTGATTTTTATAAGCTTCATTGTATTATTCTTGATTTGTATAATTTTTTTCTATGAGTAAAAGTGTCATTTTAGATTATTTCATATCAATTTTAGTGGATCCAAATTAGATTTTTTTACTACAATTAATATTTTGTCAAGTTATTTGTGTTCTTTGGATACTTGACTGTGCTACGTAGAAAGCCGATTTTCATTTAAATATGTCAGTTTTTAGCTTCGATGCAAAACAAAGGTATTGGTTCTACCATGATTAGGGCTTTTTTTTTTGCCTGTACAACACTGTTACTTTTAACTAATCATCAAAGGGTTAGTTTGAAAGTGATTTTATCCGAGAGGACTAGTACAGTAGAGTTAGGCATAATGAAAATCATATCATTATTTTTTTTTATTCAAATTTACCCCGTTTGCAATTCTAACCCATCTTTCTCTAAATTATATTTAATTAACTGCAAAATGATATATTAATGTTTTTGTTACAGAAATTAAATATCCTACTATCAATAAAAACCTAAGTAAATACGATTTTTTCGGTAGTCATAAATAGCCTTGAATGTTTTAGAGTTGAAATTTTCTTCATTTTATTTATATAATGTTTTATGTCATTATGAACGTTATGTTTGTAATTTAATTTTTACCACTAAACAAATTATAACTTTATATTATATATATTCATATATAAATATACACAGTTAGCAACATAGACATTTAATTTAACTACAATATTTTTCGTTTTATTATTTCTTCTTAAAAATATTAATTTTTGTAGATTTTAGAAGGATAGACTTGAAGAACCTTGCACAAGATAGAAGAAATCTTACCCGACCAGCTTTAAAAAATATAATCAATCGCGTATTAGGTAAATAATATTTATATGGAGTTGTATGGACTTTGAAACATTTATATATATAAACCACTAAAAAATAATAGTGTACGACTAATTTTAATTTTTAACAATGAACCAAATAAAGTGATGATACATACTTTCTTGTAATACACACAGCATGGCTAAACAATACGGACACCGTGCCCATTCTGTTTTTATGATTTTATTTTAACAAACAAGATATTTGAGTCTTGCACGATAAAATTAAGTAGTAATCAATAAACTGATTTGAGCAAATTAATAATAAAAAAAATTGTTTCAATTTCTTAGATGGACCTGTTGAGAATATACCGAATAATGCCGCTTTAAAAGGGATGTGTACTTTGATAGGAATATACATGAGTGCAAAATTGCCAACATCATTTATAAAAACTATGGAGACTAACGAAACTAACCATACTTGTACCATTTCGGATGGAAGAATCAACAAAATATACAAAATAAATCGTGGCGTATGGGGACAAATTAGCGAAAACGGGACAGTACTACAACGACTACAGGACCAGTTATAATAATTAGAACAGGAAGCAATGGTAAAACTCCTCTAAAATTATAACATAATACCATTGTTGTTGTATTGAAATAGTATTTTTATAAAGCACTTATAATACTTTGTATTGCACTAATAATTGTCAAATAATTTAATGTATTCCACAATAAACAGTTTTACTCACATTTGTTGTTTATGTGTAGATTTTAAACAGACACTTCATACTTTTTACCATACTGTAAAGAATCTATTCTGAAACATTTTTAAAAGTAAAATTGTACTTATCCTTTGTATCCGTCTCCATCAGTAGTAATTTCTATGTCATTATTTATTCCTATAAAGTTTTAGGTCATTCCGCGCACCACCATCTATATTTTTGAGGGGCTTCAACGTTGTCTTCTTTCTATTTTAAAATCAAATCAGTTAATATTTTTACAAATTTCATTTTTAAGATTTTGGTTGTACTGGAAAAGCTGGATGGCCGGTTTTTCATCATTATTGAGTTAGGGCAAATGCTATGAAAATCTGGCAAAAAAAAATGTACAAATAAGTAACCTCAACATTATTATAATATTACATTCGCAAAAACGGTTGGATCAATTCGACAACTTTATGAAACATTAATTAGGCATAACTCGATTTATACATTTTTTCACTCAATTATTTGTTTTTATAAAAATGTATAATCAAGTTTTCACAATAAACCGACAAAAAGTTGTGTACATTTATTAGAGTAATATTTTTGAGGATAAGTTTTTTTTTATCTGACTTTTATAGCTTTTGCCCTTTTTAGTAATTATAAAATGTCGTCCGTTCACTTTACCAGTACAACCGAAAAAAAAAACACAAAAAATTAGTTAGTAAATATAATACAGGGTGATTTTTTTATCGCAGGCCAGTCAATATCTCACTGAGTTTAATAGACTATTGATTTTTTTTACCAACATAAACCTCCAGAAAGACTTAAAACTACTAATCTTCAACGAACTTGTCAGATCACACTGTAACAAATTTTATTCAAAATTACACTCTTATTCCAATCCGCTAATTAAAAAATTATACCCTGTCACTCTTATTCTAAGAAGATTAAAAAGACAATAGCCCAGGGACCTGCTTAACGCATAAAATCTTAACTATTCTTGTCAGGTGGCACTGCTGAGGGCCTTCCTATTCTAACATTAATGATGTCACTTTGTCATTGTCATCAGACTTACATATTATACAAATTAGTCTGTATTGATTGTAAATAAAAGAATAAATAATAAAAATAAATGTTGTTTCAGCTTAAATTATAAAATAGAATAATCATAGAACCGTAAAAAATTAAAGATTTTTAAATTAAGCCAACGAGATTTCAACGTTTATTTTACATATTTTTCATCAAAATAAGAATTGACTACCATTTTTTTTTTTTTAATAATTGGGACACACGATATTTATCCAAGAGTAAATATATAATAATTAAATTATTTTTAATTGTTAATTTACTCATTAAGTGTTTTCAATTTAGACAATTAACATAGTAAATAGTTAGGCCAAAATGTAAAATTAATTTCCACTGCAACCCTCTAATGTAAATATTAGATATGATATGGGTTATTTTAGAACCTTGTTCTAAGAATAAGACCTATAGTCTAAACACGGCGTGGAAGTAATGTATGTTCAACCTAATCATAAAAAAAAGAACCAGCTGTCTATATAAATAAAAATAGTTACACTGCAAAAACCAATTCAGTCGATCAGTAGATTGTTGTCTAAGAACGTCTAAGAACGTCTAATTACGTTAAAACTTAAATAGCATGAGCTAACAAGCCAAAAGTTTTAGTGTAAAAAAAAAATAGAAATAAATACTTTTTATGTCTAGTTATTTTTTTTATCGGGTCTTAACATCGCCCTTTAACGACCTTTTTGAGCAAACGGGTTTGTAATATTTATTTTTACCAAAACAGATACAAATATAGCGTTTTACAAAATCCACATTTTGGAGTGAATTATTTTTTTATTATTAGCGCTGCACTATCTGTAGTATATATACATTTACAATAAGCGCAGGTGATAGAATTTATATAATAACAAATATATTAAATATTGTGACCACAAGCTTGGATAAAGAAGCCAACCAATGTTTGTTGGTACTTCATGGCGTGTGGATGAGAGATATCTATAATATGAATATGAATTCATTTTATGTGTTTTATTTGCAGAAAAAAATGAAACCTATCTGGTTTTTTATTTTATTTGTCTATATTGTAAATGATTCGGCACATTATATAGGTATTTATAATATCTTCACAATTATTAAATTAAGGTAGTTCATAAAAATTGGAACAAAGAACAATATTTCAATTTTGTTTACAGCAGAATATAAGAAACAGCTTCTAATTACAAGTCAGTAACATTTTTATTTTATCAAACACAGTTTTCTAAGTTTTTAAAACTCAGTGTTTTCGAATATATTTTTCAATTGTGTACATATTACAGATGTATCAAACATGGAAGCTGGTACAGGTGAGATGTATTTAAAATTTAAATGTTAAGATATAAATGTTTTTTTATGTGTACCTAATTGTCAAGTTTTTTGCAAATTTTAAAGCATAGTTTTTATCAATAGTAAAAAGTGCACCAGTGTACAGAACATTGTAATTTTTAAAGTAGGTAACGATTTCTAATAACCTAATCAAAGAAGTAGTGTTGAGTTAAATGGCTACAGCTTAAAGCGTAATTTGATATAACTATTAAGTACTTAATTCAATTTGTTAGTATAGCCCAAATCTTTTTTGTTTATTTTAGATATATTGCAGCGAATAATTGAAGAAATGGTTAATGAAGTCAATCATTGCGACATTTTCGGTAGTCTTAATTAAAATAATAATAATAAAAAAAGAAGAAAGTATAGAATAATATTTTGAAAATTGCAACTCAATTTTATCATTATGCAATCGATAAGTGATGTAATTATTAAATTTTTCTCAGAAATCCAAATGAAATCTTTATGGGAAAAAACTGATATTGTTGGCTGTGTCGATTATTATGTTTTTTTCTCATTCCCACAACTGTTTCAATTCAGCCATTGTATTCTCATAAAGATTCTACCCAGTCTATTAAAATGGGTTTTTTTTCTACTTTGACCTTTAACTTTTAATTCATACAACGTAATAATTTATATAAGTTAATTAAATCCAATATTATTAATTTATGTAATGTCAATTTCAGGCAAACTTAATTTTATGATCGCTGTACCAGGTAATTGTAATTAGTAGTATTAAAATTGTATGAAAATATTGCCAATATTGCCAATATTGCCAATATTTCATTCCTATTTAATTTTCCAAAGAAATTCCTGTCGGATTAAACAGTGGAGCACATTTCTTCCAAGTTACTAATGTAACACATGTTTTTTTCAACCTTGATCTTCATCTTTCTGTTTATAATATAAAAGAACATTAAATGCAATATCATTAATTTATGTAATGTTAATTTCAGACAAACTGGATTTTTCCATCTGTATACCGGGTAATAGTTTTTATTTGTTTGGTTCCACACAGAAGTTTGATATTCTTTATGCACACAACATTTTTGTTTTAGATTCAGATTTAAGACCCATTCCAATTATGGACAGTAACCACATTTTTATATATCATATATTTATTATATTTAACGTATATTCATTATATATAAATACTAGATGTAAAGATGTAATATTTAATGTAGGTACATACATTCAATAATATTTTGTTTTTAATTTTAGAACTGCTTGATTACCAGGACTTTATGGGATGGAAAATAAGACGTACATTAAGTAAATATTAAATTTGAAACATTTATAATTATACTAGTTTGAAGTTATAAAGAAAAACATCGACCTAAAGCTTAAGGTCATAAAGCTATACATTATGTTTTATGTTTAAGCCTCTAATGATCATTCGAATTATAATATAAAAGGTTTATTAGTACGTTGCTATTAGACATAATTTACCAATTATGTAATAATATTTTGCATAAAGGAATTGCATGCAGTCTAGTTTCAAGGAGTTTTGTAAAGGCAATATTTAAGAATACTTGGTTTTAATCAACTTCGACTATGACAATTAATAATCCAATTTATTTTATATGCTTCAATGTATTATTTTTAATTTATATAATTTGTATTTTTAATCTTGTAAAGTAGTCAAAATTTTGTCTGGCTTTTTAGTCTTAAACGCCAAACAACAGATTGTATACATACCCCTTAATTCAGTAGTCACTCTTATTAATCTCAGTTTAAAGAGTGATTGTTTTAAAGACAGGGCAAAAATGACACTATTTTTCTGTATTTAAAACAAATAAAAAAATTATAATAATTCTATAGGGTAGGATACTCAAATCTACAGCTTATTTTTATTTATCACATAAACAGTCAGAAATCAGTATCCGCTGATGACAAAAACCAATACTTCAAACAGGGTGACTATTTAATATATTTTTATCTCGCGATGAACATACAGTTCATCACAGTGAAAACAGTATCCATCGGAATTATTCAAAATTTACCCCGTTTGCAAATCTGGCCATCTTCTACTTCATTGATTTTCTTTTTAATGCACAATGATTTGATACAGGAATGAAATATCCTAATATTGATAACAACCAAGGTAAATACGATTTTTTCGGCTAGTAAATAGCATTGCTTGTTTGATAGTTGAAATTTGCTTAATTTTATTTATTTAATGTTTTATGTAAACGAAAAACAAATTATAACTATATATATAGATAGCACAGTTAGCAACCTTAACATGAAATTTAATTTTAATTTAACCAACATATTTTTTTTTTTTATTCTTTCTTTTTAAAAAAAATATTTTTTGTAGATTTTAAAAGCTTAGATTTGACAGCCCTTGCACAAGATAGAAGAGATCATACTGGACCAGCTTTAAAGAATATAATCATTCGGATATTAGGTAAATAATTTTAATATGGAGATGTTTGGATTTTGAGTCAATTATACATATATTTATATATTAAGTTTATTAATAGGAATAAATCACTAAAAAAACACAATTTATAACTAATTTTAATTTTAAAAATAACCAAATAAATGATGATACACACTTTCTTGTAATACAAACAGTGTAACTGTTCAGTACTGATACCAAAATATTTTTATGACTCTATTTTAACAAATATGACTGTGGCGTCCTACACCAAAAAAAAAAGAAGAAACTAATAAACTAATTTGAGAAATTAAAAAAAAAAATTATTTTATTTTTTAGATGAACCTGTTCAGGGTATACCGGATGATATCGCTTTGAAAAGGGTGTGTAATTTGATAGGATTACATGAGTGCACAATTTTCAGCATCATATATAACAAAAATTCAGATTGACTTAACTAATCTTACTTGTACCCTATCGAACGGATATACAGACAAAATATACAGAAAAAATGGCGTTTGGGGACAAATTAGCGAAAACGGTACAGTACTACAACGACTAAAGGACCAGTTGGTATAATTTAAAACAAAATCAATGGTATAACTCATCTAAAATTATATAACACCATTATTGTTGTATTGACATAATATTTTCAATAAGCACTAATATCCTATTTAATATTGCACTAATAATTGTCAAATAATAATTTAACGTATTCCACAATAAACAATTTTACTCACATTTGTTGCATATATTGTGTAGTTCTAAACAGACATTTCATGCTTTTTACCATACTATAAAGAATCTATTCTGAAACATTTTCAAAAATAAAATTGTACTTATCCTTTGTATCCGTCTCCATCAGTAGTAATTTCTTTGTCATTATTTATTCCTATAAAGTTTTAGGTCATTCCGCACACCTCCATCTATATTTTTGAGGGGCTTTAACGTTGTCTTCTTTCTATCTTTGGATTTCTTGGGTCCCGTCTTACTAATTTTTCTACTCAGATGTAACTGATTGACTTAAATAAAATCATAAAGTCAAATAATATAATAAGACAGTGATAAAATCACTTTAGAAAAAACGTTTCGTTGCAAATCGGTAGTTAGTATTTTCAAGCCAGTACAGTCTAAACCAAGCACAGTATAATCCAGCAAAGTTAGAAAGCATTAAATTGAGGTGCTGTATTTACAAACAAGCATTAAAGCGTTAATTTTAAAGTGATTTTATCCGAGAGGACTAGTGCAGTAGAGTATAGGCATAATGGAATTAAAGCAACGAGGGGACGAAGAGGTCACAGGTCTAAAGGAATTATTATAAATAAAAATGATAAAATTGAATAAAATCACTTTCAAATAAACGCTTTGATGCTTATTTATAAATACAGCACTTCAATTTAATACTTTCTAACTTTGCTGATTTATACTGTGCTTGGGTTGGACTGTACCGGGTGATTGGTTAACTATGGACCACTCAATATCTTAGAAGATATTAGACTTTTTTAATTATTTTTTTTTTGTACTATTATAGTTATTAGGTGGGACAAATTTAATGTATTTTTCAAAATTTTAACACCATCCCTTATGCGTTAAAACCATATCAACTTTAGATTTTTAAATGGCAACCCCCAATTTTTTTTTGATGATCGTGTTTATTTTTTTTAAATTTAATTTTAGGCGTAAAAACTAGGTAAATTGATTGAGTAGTTAACGAGCTACACAGTTTTAAAATTAAAGGGAGTATAAAAAATAAATTAAATATCTTGGAGACGCTAACATATTAAGGTGAAACTTGACTGCTCTCTGTTATTATTTATTGACAATTAACTTTGACAATAGCTATAGTAGCGTTTAAAAATTATTACCGTACCAAACACTATTTACTTTAGGTAAATAATTCACCGATAGTAAATAATAATGATAACCGCTATATCGACTGACAAATATACCACCACTACACACTTTTACATTTATTTTGTAAAATAGTAGGTATGTTTAATTTGTTATCAATACCTTGTGTATATTTTTCCAGCATTTAGAAATTATTTGTTTTGGTTAATTTGACACATTTTGTTTATTCATGCGATTTGTACGTCTTAATTTCATAGTATATTATAATAATATAGTATCATAACTTACTAGATCTATGAACTTGTCAACATTTATTGTGTTTTAAATAATAACATTGATATTAAATATCCATAATCAATGTGAATACCGAGATGGAGTTTTGCTCAAGTGACAAGTCTAGAAAACCTTACTTATAAAATGTATGCACATCAAATATCAAAATTAAAGGTACTTATAATAATAATATGTTATTTCAAATAAATAGAGTAATTTGAATTATGCTTGATGATATTTTAAATAAAACTTTTATTTTTACAGTATTATGTCTGTTCTGAGAAACTTATAAATGTGTAGTTTTGTGTTTTAACATATTGGTATCTGAATTCAAAGAAAAATTATAAAATTTTTTATGAAAAAATTGAATCTTCAATCATCATTTACTGAATCAATAATAGGTAAGATAATGTATTTATTGATATAGGTGTATTGTATAAGTACATTTTTTTATTAGAAAAATATAATTAATCATTTTTTATTATTCATGAACATATAAAATGTTTTTAAATAATAAGTTTTTTTGGATTACTTATGTTTATCATACTTAATATGTTTTATTAAAATGCGTTACTTAAAAATTAACGTTTAACTTAAAAATTATCATACTTGTATAATTATAAAAAAATATGTGTAAATACTGATATTTGTTGCTTAACCATATAATTATTTAAGTACCTAAGAAACTTATTTAATTTTTTAAATTATATGTTTCAGTATGTTCAATATTAATATGGACTATCTCAACTTAAATTGATATTTGTTGTTGTCTACAACTACACTACTACCAACGTCAAATTTGGTGTACTATATTATTGTAGTCAATCAGTCTAAACCAATTCCATCAATACATTTTCGAATGTTGTGGTATTCAATTTTCAGTAAATTTATAGGTGTTTTATTTTAAGGTAAAATATATAAGATCATCAGTTTGCAATAATTTAGTTAATTTCTATGAATTCATCACTAACAATTTATTATTATTATTATTTTTTTAGTTACTGTGGCACACTATTGCAGATAACGGTTTTCCATTAAGTCAGTAAGAAGAATAAGATGGATTCACAAGTTCAAATCAAATATTAGACAACTATATATATTTAGTTATTCAGCTAAAAATGTAATTCAATAAAATAATTTAAAAGTACTTTATCATTTTGAAAGTGACATAAAGTTTTTAAACTCTAAGTATTTAAACACACATATACTTAACATATCTATAATTATTATACATTATTTATTAATTATTAATGATGAATTCTTTATTTAATATTAATTTAATCTAAAATGCTGCTGAGAATGTTAATATTTCTAAAATATGTTATTGTCTTAATCCAAATCTTGAAATTATTTTCATGATGGCATAGTTTTGGCATTAGCTATTACAGAATTTATTGACAACTTTCTAGTGGTTTACGATCAAGTTTTTATAAGTAGTAAAGTAAATAAAATTATAAAACACAAAATAGAAAAAAAAAATGTTAACTTTTGGATTAAGTGTAAAAAAGTAAATTGAATGAATATACTTATAAATATTTTTTAACTTAAATATGTAAATGGAGATGGATTTCTTCTAGTGGGAAATCATCAAACAAACTTTACCGTCCTAGGTAACTTCCTATAAATACATCACTATATACAGCAATATGTTGTACCTCTATTATTTACAAGTTAATTATAGATATGTTAATTTTATTTAGTTTTAGTTTTTCAATATGATTTAGCAAATAAAAATGTTTATTCGTATCTTATAAGCGTATTATTTATCTTGTTACTTGTTTTTTTATTTTACTATTATCATAATAAACATAATATAATATAGTATTAAAATGTTTGTTAGTAATATTATTATTGAATTTTAAGCTTATGACTGTTTAAAAAGCCATACAAAAACAAAAAAAATTGTACTTTTTCATTGTCACTCTAAATTTTTGTTTATACCTCGTACAACGAAAAAAACAATCATTTATTAAATAAAAAACATACTTTTACTGTTCATATGAACACATTAAAATAAGTAAGAATAGTCAATACTACTAAATATATACAGTATAAGGTGGTAATATAATAAAGAGTTAATAAATAAATACAGCTTTTAATAAATAAAAATACTGAACTAGAAATAGTTAAAATTGACGTGTTACAACTTTAAATTATAAAAATGAAAATTTATTTTAGTGCACAAGTATTGGATGAACGTATTTCTTATGGAATCCTTTGTTATCTAAACATTTTAATAAATACAATAGATGCCTTATAAAGATGTTGTTTGACATCTTATGTACCTATCATAAACCAGTTCGAACAAATGCTAAAATAGTTTCTGTACATATTAAGTTTAGTTTTTGTTTATTTTTGTATATATTCTGTACATATTATCTATTAACTGTATGTAATACAATATTATACTAAAAAAATAAAAAATTGAATGTTATTTATTAAAGTTTTTTTAAAAATATTTTCACTAACAGAATTAATAATTTGACTAGTTAAGACACCAGTACAAGTAACACTTATTAAGACCAAGACGCTAAATATTTAAAGTAAAAACCAAGACGCTAAATAACCATAATAATTGAAAAATTAGAATAATGAACTTTTTGATTAGTTTTCAAGTAGTCGTATTTTTATAATAATTTGTTCTGTTGATATTAATCTACACTAGTAACGAATCGTTTTGGTAGAACCACAGATTATACTCTATATAAGACCGTGATTAGACCACGGTAACCTATGGTTGAAATTGAAAAAAAAACTATTTACTAGGGCTCATAATATTGTTTGTTAACAGCAGCTAATGCCTAATATTCAATACGTACAGGTACACCGCACCGCTAGGAACACTACAGAAAAAACAGATAAGAAGACATTACCTATATAAATATTATTATAGATTTATTATTAGTTCGTTTTCATTGTGACCGACGACCGTCAACTATTAACTTTAATCTACAACCGTGTCGTTAATCAATCTTATTTTGTGAAACGTGAGATCCGGCGATAAACGATTTTTTTCTTTAGCTGTAAAACTTATAAAAGCATCTCATATAACTATAATAGTGTAGTACTAAGCTATAACTTTAAAAGTACTTGTCTGATTTAGCTAGTTTTTACACCTAAAATTAAATTTAAAAAAAATAAACACGATCATCAAAAAAAAATTGGGGGTTACCATTTAAAAATCTAAAGTTGATATGGTTTTAACGCATAAGGGATGGTGTTAAAATTTTGAAAAATACATTAAATTTGTCCCACCTAATAACTATAATAGTACAAAAAAAAAATAATTAAAAAAGTCTAATATCTTCTAAGATATTGAGTGGTCCATAGTTAACCAATCACCCGGTACTGGCTTGAAAATACTAACTACCGATTTGCATCGAAGCGTTTTTTCGAAAGTGATTTTATTACTTTCAGATTTAAAAATTCCTGTAAATCTGTGACCTCCCCGTCCCCACTATGCTCCGTTCCCACTATGCCCTGATCCCACTGTACTGGGTTTTTTTTTTTGTGCAAAAACATAGCGGACCAAATAACACATATACAATGTCTTGTTAAATTTAGTTGGAGTAGACGGCGATTCATGTTTCAATCGTTTGTACTCCATAGT